TAATGCACCTGTTATAGGTGACTTCTATTAGGAAAACCAAGAAAACTTTCATATTTTTAGATATTTTTTGCTGCATGAAACAATCACTGTTTAACATTTTATCTTTCCTGGGCTGCCAGTTGTCTCTGTAGTGCTTGATAAATGTTACTGACTGCTAATGAGGAGAGGAGGGTCAGTGCCTGGGGAGAGAATGAATAAAGTAGGATTAATGTACAGGATATCCAAACATAATTCATATGATATACTAGAACTCTTAATTTTGCCCGTATTAGAAGCAACTCATTCACTGTGTTTTTAGGAGATCATTAGATTTTTAAAAATCTTTCTCTTATTTAAAATCTTAAATTTATTCTAGTATATTACAAAATATAAACAATTTTCCACCAAAATTAGAACACGTCTGTTTCTTAGTTTGTAGAGTCCTCCTTTGTAATTTTTCATGAAAAATTATTCACTTTCAGTAGTAAAATTATAAAGAAGCATTGATTTTTCATTTTTAATGCACTATATTTTGCATCTGAATCTAGCTTTAACATACCATGCTTCTGAATCTTGTATTTGCTTGAGTTTCTTAGGTTTTAGGTAACATTTTAAAACATCTTTCATTATGAAAAATTGCAAGCATGTACAAGAATAGAATAGTACTCATCATCCAACTTCAACAGTTGTCAACTTAGGGATAATTTTGTTTTAATTATAACCCTCATTACTCCCCTTCCCTTTTTTTATATGCAAACATTTTACTGAAGTCTAATGTACATATAGAAAAGTGCACAAATCATGTCTACAGCTTGAGGAATTTTTTACATCCTCTTGTATTATCTTGAAGCAATCACCATGCTTTAACTATGTGTTTCATCCTTGTATTTTAAACAAATGCCATTACAAAGACCGTGCTTGTATAATGAAACTTTCCATATCTTTGGTGTATTGATAACTAGTTGCAACAAACTTTCCAAAATAATCCAGAATAATACTATAAAACAGTTTGATATGGCTTGGCTGTGTCCCCCCTCCCCCCACCCCGATCTCATCTTGAATTCCCATGTGTGGTGGGAAGGACCCAGTGGGAAGTAGTTGAATCATGGGGGTAGGTCTTTCCTTTGCTGTTCTTGTGAGAGTAAGTCTCACAAAATCTGGTGGTTTTAAAAATGGGAGTTTCCCTGTATAAGCTCTCTCTGTTTGCCTGCTGCCATCCCGGTAAGACATGACTTGCTCCTCCTTGCCTTCCACCATTATTGTAAGGCCTCCCCAGCCACGTGGAAGTGTAAGTCCATTAAACCTCTTTCTTTTGTAAATTGCCTAGTCTTGCATATGTCTTTATCAGCAGTGTGAAAACAGACGAATACACAATTGTTCTTCATAGTGAAACTACCTGATTGTTGTTGACATTTTAAGCAAATAGGAGGTGGGGAGATAAGGAGTCCATGCAATAAGATGTCTATAGCTCCTTTTCTACCATAAACAAATAATTGTTGTTTAGGTGATTTTTGATTTGTCTTTAAAGCACTCTATTTGTCCAGAAAATTTACCCAAACCCTCAAATTACTTTCAAGTCAAATCACATAGCAGGTGAAGAACTCCAAGAGGGTGATGGGACACAGTGACAGTAAAGTTAATATTCTTTTTCTTTTTCTTTTCTCTATCATAGGCAGTAGGACTTGTGACAGGCTTTTCTAGGTAGGAAAGAAAAGAAGGAAGGGAAGAAATAAATAGCAATAGATGACTCAATACATACATACATATATGTATGTAAAGCAGAAGGGAGGAAAACAAGCTGAGGGAGAAAAGGATGGATAAGGAGAGAAAGCCTGCAGGACCTCAGGGTATTGTGTGGTCCATGGTGTGACTGCACATAAGAAGAGCACTCTCTATCCTTTGAAAACTCACCAGAGATTCTGGACATAAGAACTGCTTCATTTCTTTCTCTTGCCCATTGGAAACAAGCTTTTTAGAATTCATTATAATTAAATTAAATTGTGCAGGTATAATGAAAAAATTACAGTGTTCCATGGAGATCTCTTCCATGAACTCATGCTTATTTTTAACAACATCAGTATCTTTAGGGAAAGTAAAAATGTGAGCAACCAGATGGGTAGGTTAGAGACTGAGAGTAGGGGAGGACGTGGAATCCGCGCTCCTCACCCTCAGACGCTCTCGTGGCTTCAGCAGTGTGGCTCTGGCAGTGACAGCCTGTCACACTGACCACGCTGCTTCTCCAAGGTGTGGAGTGACAGCTCAGTGTGACCAGACCACCCAGGTTAAATGGCCTGTGGGCTGAGGCATGGTGTTCTGGACTATGGTCAGCCTTTGTTATACTCCTGAAAGATTTATTTTATTTTATTTTATTTTAGCTTAAAAAGCTGTATGAAATTATTTTTTGCATCATGTCTAAAAATGACATTTTTCTCAGTTAACCCCAAATGTACTGACTTATTCAGAGAGTGCTGGTTTGTGGACTCTTATGTTTTTTGGGTGGTATCTATATTTTAACCATTTCTCAAATCATTAGCACCTTTATTTTTAGCATTTTGGGCAGGCCAAAAAAATGTACAGGAGGTAAAAATTGAACTCATCCGTTTAGATGCATTTTAATAGTTCTAGCAAAAGACCCTTTGGAAATTGGATTTTAATTGTAATCTGAAATATGAATTTTATTCAGTGTTTCTTATTGATAGCCAAGCACATTTAAGGGGAAAAAAAATTGTTTCAGATTTTTAGTCATTCCTATACCTCACCACTTCCCATACTGAAAATATGAGAAACTACTTAATACTAGTTCTAACTGATCTTTGGGGAAGTTTGTGGTATCATTTTCCTTTTTAAAATAGAGATGGGCTCTTGCTGTATTGCCCAGGCTGTTCTTGAACTCCTGGCCTTAAGCAGTCCTCCTGCCTTGGCCTCCCAGAGTCGAGATTACAGGCGTGAGCTACCACACCCAGCCTGACTGTCATTTTCAAGCTAGACCTGTAGCTGAAATTCTGGGCTTGGTAAGCACTCAGCATTCCTCAATAACAGGACTGCCTATGGAGAATTCCTTCAGAGCCAGGCATGGTGGCTCACACCTGCAATCCCAGCACTTTGGGAGGCTGAGATGGTCAGATTGCTTGAGGCCCAGAGTTCGAGACCAGCCCGGCCAACATGGTGAAACCTGGTCTCTACTAAAAATACAAAAAAAAAAAAAAAAAAAAGGAGCCAGGCATGGTGGCATGTGTCTGTAGACCCAGCTATTCAGGAGGCTGAGGCACAAGAATCACTTTAACTCAGGAGGCAGAGGTTGCAGTGAGCTGAGGTTGCACCACTGCACTCTAGCCTGGGTGACAGAAAGACTCTCTCAACAACAACAACAAAGAAGTCCTCCAGTTACTGATGTGCTTTCATTTTATTTTCCATTCTTTGGCTCTTAACCCTGTTATTAGTTTATATCCCAGGCCCTAGGCAGTAGTAACTACTTTACCCAGGCCTGTTCAGGCACCCCTCACTGTCCTGCTTCTGTCCTTTCCACTAGGCCTATAAAATGATCAAACTTTTTTATATGCGCAACTGTTTTCATGTGTGTCTCCTCTGTCTTTGTCGTAAATGAAACTTTGTGTTTCCCCCAAACCTGTATGTCGTGGGCAGACTTCTTGAAGGGATCGCTACCCACAGCTCACTGGGAACCTAGGTGGAAGGGTACCACTTCCAGACCATTGCTCTCTCACTGCCATCAGCCTCACTTTTTTTTTTTTTTTTTTTTCACTGTTCACTACAAAACAAAGTAATTTTAAGATATTTTTAAAAATTGACGTTAAGAAGCTAGATTAGGTAACTTATAATATGTGACATTAAATATGTTGAGAAATTCTTGGTTTCATTGGAAGGCATTTGTAATGATAAACCTTTTTTCAGTTATAATGAGATACTAAGCAGAGATAATTCTTTCATCCCAGATAGCAATTTCTTATTAACAATTGATAACATTTGAACTGAAAGAGATTCTTGGCTTTATTTCTATATTTTTTTCTACTTAGGTATTTAACTCTTTTGACATCCTCTTATCCCCTCAATAGGATCCAAAATATGTCTAAAATTAATTCAAAAGAAAAATAACTATTTGAATTATTGCTTGTGTTTGAAAACAATATTTACCGTAGTAGTCCACATTTTCTTCTTTTTTAAAGCTAAGACAATTAAATAAAAATGTAAGGGATAAGAAATATAGTTGAGGTCACAATAAAGTATATTTTCTTTTATGGACATAAAACAAATTTTAAATGTTGGCTCTTTAAGAAAAAAATTATCCTGGTAAATATGCATAACTGTTGCCCAAAAATGTATACAGTTGTTTTCCAACATATTTATATATATAGTGGTTCACTTAAGACCAGCCTTGTTAGAACCTTCTGAATATAATGTGCTCTTAATTTATAAATGGGCTACCCTCAGTGTATAAAATATATAGGCATGTATGTTATACATACAAAGTAAAAAATATATAAAGGAAAGATGGAAGAAAAAAGAAAGTATCCTTTCCTTTAAGATCCAGACAGAAAGTCATTATAATTAGTGGGACCATGGAAAATGTCTGAAGGATTTCAGTTTTGGCAAATAATTTTCAGAAAAATATCCAAGCTGTGAGAACACTAAATGTCAATTTTAATAATTTAGTAGAGGTTTCTATTCAAACATTCAGTGAAGGTGTTGCCATCTTCTACTATGAAAAAGAAGACTATGAAAAGAAGACTTTTGGGGTGTCTGTTAAAAGCAAAGAGCTGCTCATTTTTAACAGGTTACTAATAACCTTTTAATCAAGTATATGTCATGCAGAGACTCAAATCCTGATCCAACAGTGTTTGAGTCTGTTTGATGGAAGATTCCAATGGTGAGGATCCGAATTCATCCTACATCTTAGAGGAGCAGGATGTTATGGCAGTGGAGGGGGTCAGCCCCAAAGGTAGCTGGCCCAACCTTAACTGTGGATGTTAAACAACAACAACAACAACAACAACAAAAACACCAAATGTTTCTATAGCATTCTTTTTGCTGCATTTTCTTTATTTTAAGCCACAGGTCTACTTGGAGGGTCATGCAGCAAGTAGCTAATAAATAAAATCAAAGTCTATGAATAGTGTCATCACATTAAGAGACAGAATTGCTGGGTTCTTTCATTATGTGAAAAGCTCGCATCTTGGGAATCCATGAGTTGGTAGGTTTTACGGAACACCTGAGATGTACCTTGCTCCAATTAACATTATCATGCTACTCACTATAAAGAAGCCCAAGGGCAGACTACAGAAGATACTAGGGTCACCACTTTCTGGAGATTGAGTTGTAACCCAACCCATTGACTTCATCACAGCTTTCTTCCATGTAGAATAACGAATTTCACTTTCCTCAGCATTAATCTGAGGTTCAAACCGCTCCATTGTGACGGCAGACAAATCTTCGGGTTCAAGACTCCATACGTTGACTCCTTCTGCAGCCCCTGCCGCCATGGCAGCACCCAGTGCAGTGGTTTCGGGCATCGAGGGCTTCACTACTGGAATACACAGAATGTCTGCTTGTAGCTGCATAAGAATTTTGTTGCTGGTCATTCCTCCATCTACCTGCAAATGACTGAGTGGAATTCCACAGTCTCGATTCATGGCATCCAAAATCTCTCGAGTTTGGAAACAAACAGCTTCTAATGCAGCAAAAGCAATATGGCATTTGTTGGTGAACTGAGTGAGTCCACAGATTATCCCTCTTGCGCTGGGCTCCCAATAAGGTGCATATAACCCCGAAAATGCTGGGACGAAGTAGCATCCATAAGAAGTACCTACTTCTTTAGCAAGTTTTTCAATTTCTTCTGAGGTCTTTATAATTCCAAGATTGTCTCTTAGCCAGCGAACAACAGCACCAGCTATAGCTACAGAACCTTCCAAAGCATAATATACCGGTTTGTCTCTGCCAAGTTTGTAAGCCACTGTGGTGAGAAGGCCATGATCAGAAAATACACACTTGTGGCCTGTATTGCATAGTAAGAAACATCCTGTTCCATACGTATTTTTGGCTTCTCCAATCTGGAAGCACATTTGTCCCACCAATGCAGCAGACTGGTCCCCTAAACACCCAGATATCGGCACACCTTCCAAGGCCCCAGCTTTCATTAGGCCATAGATCTCAGAAGAACTCCGGACATTTGGAAGAATTTCCATTGGAATTCCAAAAAAATCGCAGAGTTGTTTATCCCATTCCAAAGAATGAATGTTGAAAAGCATAGTCCTACTTGCATTTGTGACATCTGTACAGTGGACACCTCCACTGACGCCTCCTGTCAAGCTCCAAATAAGCCATGAATCAATAGTCCCAAAAAGAGCTCGTTTGTCTTCAACAGCCTTTTGAACTTTTCTCACATTGTCAAGGAGCCAATGAAGTTTCACTGCACTGAAGTAAGTGCTAAGTGGAAGGCCTGTCTTGGACTTGACAAAGTTATTATTTCCTGGAATTCTTTTACTAAGACTCTCGACGGTAGACTGGGTTCTTAGATCAAGCCACACCACAGCATTGTAGAGAGGCTCTCCAGTTATCTTGTCCCAGACTACAGTGGTTTCCCTCTGGTTGCTGACACCGATAGCTTTTATGTTGGAAATATCAATATTGAGCTGTCCAAGTTTCTCACATGTTTTCTCTATACACTCATAGACAGAATGTAGAATTTCCTTAGGGTCCTGTTCCACCCATCCTTCTCTTGGGAACTCTTGTTTTATTTCCACTTGATGATGACTAAGTAGTTCAGCTGTTTTTGAATTGAAAACCAAAAAGCGTGTCGAACTGGTGCCCTGGTCCACCGCCCCCACCAATGGCCCCCAAACTGCCTTCTTGGAGGCTGCCATGAGACCAGCTTCATGTCCGCCGGCGATTGCGGCCGGTTTCCTGGGTGACGGCGGCGCGAGGGGGAGGGGCGGGTGACGAGTCCGAAGAGCGAGGCCGCGCATGCCCGCTGAACCAGCCTCACTTCTGTACTGGCTGGCTGGCGGGCTACTGCGTTCTCTCTGCAGCTCATTTTCTGTCTTGGCTTCCGGGCATACTTCTGGATTTAACACTGAGATTTTCTTTCCCTGTGTATTTTGTTTCTTCTGCCATCAACGCCTTCAGAATCTATATTGTTGGGTCACGTGAGACTCCTTCATAGCTCCTTGTAACCCTCATCTTCCCCCCCCCCCCCCACAAACCCATTCATCACCTTAGACTACAGTTCCAGGGTCTGTTGGATCTTTCTGGTATTTAGAACTCTGGGGTTTCCACCTTGGTTTGGACTACATGTGTGCCTTTTCATTCTCTTGTATTTCTTCATAAATCTGTGCTCTTTGGCGCTTGTTCTTCCAGCCAACTCTTGGCCGTTCAGCCCAGACCCAGTAGTCAGTCATTTCAAACCTATCCTCTTTATGTGCCTGGCATTGCCCACACTGTTGTGGGTGATAGATAACAGGCTCAATACAATTTAACCCTTGCTTATAATCTAACTTTATAGTCCAGTAACAATAAACTCACACCCTAATTAAGTATATTTGGAATATGCGTTATTCTCTGTAAAACCAGTTTTTATAATAGTTTCTTCTACAGAAAATTTACTTCAATCATTTGCCCACCTTTCTATAATTTAGGCTAGGAATCACTGCTTGGAATAAACATCGGTTAGAATAAGCTCATGATTTGAATACTGCCCTCTTGAAAGAAATTTGTGTTGAGTGAGTGGTTTTAATAGTAGTATTACTAGCTTTAGCCATGGGATATGCATGCCAAAGAATAGATGCTGATTATTCAAGGGTCTATTGCAATGTTAATTTACTGATAACAGAAGATTCTTCCTTTGGAGAACTGCGAAAGCACTTGATACCAGCACTTTTTAGCTGAAGTCATGCCAACTCAAATGATGCTTCTTGAAAGAGTTAATTATTTGTATATTCATGCATTCAGTATGGTCATTTTTATTCCTTAGTAAACGACATACAGTCTCTGCTGTGCCTTGTTGACAGGTTTTTTTTCTGGCTTACCTGAGTTAACTGTTTTCAGGTTTCATTAAAACTGCCTCATGTTAATAGAACTGCTGGAGACATATATGATTTTTTTCTCCTAAAGATTAATAGTGTTGAAAGTCAAAGAATCACAGAGTATTAATGTTATAGGAAATCTTAGCAGTTATCTAGTCCAACACTGTCATTTTATTAATTAGGAAAATGAAGACCAGAGATATGTCTATTTTCCCAAAAACACTTTGTCTGTTAGGGATGAGCTGCTTATGGATCTAAGATACTATTGTTATTCATACTTTTGTCCTCACTTCTCAAATGGGACTCTGCATTGAGTATAGAGGAATTATGGAGACCCATCATGGCATTTTAATTTTGTTCAGAAAGGTGCTTGGCATTTAGAAATCAAATACAAAGGGTACTTTGTACCTTGTTACAGGATATAAAACAGAACAAATAAGACTTGGGACTTATATTGTTGATTTTATTACACTTATTTGGGATGAGGGTCCTAACCTGATGCTCTCTCTTTTTTTTTTTTGAGACGGAGTCTCGCTCCATCACCCAGGCTGGAGTGCAGTGGCAAGATCTTGCTCACTGCGAGCGCCGCCTCCTGGGTTCTTGCCATTCTCCTGCCTCAGCCTCCCCAGTAGCTGGGACTACAGGCACCCACCACCACGCCTGGCTAATTTTTTGTATTTTTAGTAAAGATAGGTTTTCACCGTGTTAGCCAGGATGGTCTCGATCTCCTGACCGCGTTATCCACCCGCCTTGGCCTCCCGAAGTGCTGGGATTACAGGCGTGAGCCACCGCGCCAGGCCCTGATGCTCTCTCTTGACCTGGTATGGCAAATTCTAGGGACTGTCTTTCATTTCATGATTAGCTTATTTTATTTCCTGGTGGGAAACAGAAAAGTTCAGTTGCTCTAGAGAGTAATGAGCATATATGTTCATTATGGGAGGAATGAAATGTATATTCCATATACATGTATGGAAGGATGCATATATATACACATTATATGTGTGTAGTTTATGTGTTTAACGTGTATAGCATATTGATGGCATAGTCTTTACTACTGGGAATTGTGCCCTATTGCAATTATGGTATTTGTTCAGAGAGAAGAAACCGATGATTAAACGTCAGTATAACTGTGTTGGGCTTTATTCAGTGGCCAGTGGTGAACTACTGAAGGTAAATTACTAATGTCACAAGCTGTGATCCATAACAAGATGTCCAGTGAATATGTGGGTGAAAGGTTTGGAAGCAATAATTGAGGTTGGTAATAGGGTTAGAACTAGGGTAATGAACATAGAGAGGAGGTGAATGAAGCAGGATCATAGATATGGGAACTAACTCTGAGTATAAGTGGAGGAAACGGATTACACTCTGAGATGACCTGCCTTTTAGCATTACAGTGTAGGTAAATTCTTTGTAGGTACATTTTAGTGTATGCATATTTATAGCCAGTGTGCAGTAGCTGCTGATTTTTACTGTACCTTACTGAGATACAGTAGGCTGAAAAAGAATTCATTCTCTGAAAAGGAAGAATTTTTCACTTTGGCTGTGTTGTGTTAGGCTTTTATTAACCAAACGAATGCAAACATGTTAGGCTTTTAGTTGATGGTATATTCAATGGGAATCAATTATGTAATTGTATCCAGAAAGGTGTAAGGTGATTATCCTATTCTGTTCTGTCCAGTTCCTAGCTATGAAAGTGAGTTTATTTTTAGGTTCAGTGTTTTGAGAGAGACTGATGCACTAGAGCCCTGAATTTATAGCGAGGGTGATGATGAAGACCCCAAATCATGTTGTACAAGGAGTGGTTGAAGGACATAGGATTGTACAGACCATTGAAAGATAATTTGGGAAAATATAATGCTCTAAGATTTTGAGGAATTGAATTAATCTTGTTCTGTTTATTGTGGTGGCAGAATTATCAGTGTTATAACATAAAAGTGAAAAAGATTTTAGAGCAACGTACAGAAGAGCTTCTAATAGTAAGTGGTTGTGTTAGTCCGTTTCTGTGCTGCTGATAAAGACATACCCGAGACTGGGCAATTTACAAAAGAAAGAGGTTTATTGGACTTAACAGTTCCACATGGATGGGGAGACCTCACAATCATGGTGAAAGGCAAAGAGGAGCAAGTCATGTCTTACGTGGATGGCAGCAGGCAAAAAGAGCTTGTACAAGGAAGCTCCCATTTTTAAAACCATCAGATCTCATGATACCCATTCACTATCACGAGAAGAGCATGGGAAAGACCCACCCCCAAAATTCAGTCATCTTCCACTGGGTCCCTCCCACAACACATGGGAATTATGGGAGCTGCAAGATGTGATTTGGTGGAGACACAGAACCAAACTATATCACTCCACCTCTGGCCCCTCCCAAATCTCATATCTTCACATTTCAAAACCAATTATGCCTTCCCAACAGTCCCCCAAAGTCTTAACTCATTTCAGCATTAACTCAGAGGTCCACAGTCCAAAGTCTCATCCCAGATAAGTCAAGTCCCTTTCACCTATGAGCCTGTAAAATCAAAGGCAAGTTAGTTACTTCTTAGATACAATGGGGATACAAGCATTGGGTAAATACAGCCATTCCAAATGGGAGAAACTGGCCAAAACAAAGGGGCTACAGGCCCCATGCAGGTCTAAAATGCAGTGGAGCAGTCACATCTTAAAGCCCCAAAATGATCTCCTTTGACGCCGTGTCTCACATCCAGGTGACACTGATGCAAGAGGTAGGTTCCCACGGTCTTGGGCAGCTCCTACCTCCCAGCTGCCTTCAGGGACTGGTGTTGAGTGTCTGCGGCTTTTCCAGGCACATGGTGCAGGCTGTCAGTGAATCTCCCATTCTGAGTTCTGGAGGATGGTGGCCCTCTTCTCACAGCTCCACTAGGCAGTGCCCCAGTAGGGACTCTGTGCGAAGGCTCTGACCCCACATTTCCCTTCTGCACTGCCCTAGCAGAGGTTCTCCATGAGGACCCTGCCGCTGCAGCAAACTTCTGCCTGGACATACAGGCATTTTCATACACCTGAAATCGAGGGGGAGGTTACCAAACCTCAATTCTTGACTTCTGTGTACTCACAGGCTCAATACCACATGGAAGCTGCCAAGGCTTGAGGCTTGCATCCTTGGAAGCCACGACCTGAACTCTTTGTTGGCCTCTTTCAGCCATGGCTGGAGTGGCTGGGACACAGGGCACCAAGTCCTTAGGCTGCACACAGCACAGGGACCCTTCTAGGCCTCTGGAACTGTGATAGAAGGAGCTGCTGCAAAGGCTTCTGACATGCCCTGGAGACATTTTCCCCCATTGTTTTGGTGATTAACAGTTGGCTCCTTGCAAATTTCTGCAGCTGTCTTGACTTTTGCCTCAGAAAATGGGATTTTCTTTTCTGTCATATTGTCAGGCTGCAAATTTTCCAAACTTTTATGCTCTGTTTCCCTTTTGAAACTGAATGCCTTTAACAGCACCTAACTCACCTCTTGAATGCTTTGCTGCTTAGAAATGTCTTCCACCAGATACCCTAAATCATCTCTCTTAAGTTCAAAGTTCCACAGTTCTCTAGGGCAGGGACAAAGTGCCTCCAGTCTTTTTGCTAAAACGTAACAAGAGTCACCTTTGCTCCATTTCCCAACAAGTTTCTCATCTCCATATGACACCACCTCAGCCTGGATTTCATTGTCGGTATCATTATCTGCATTTTTGTCAAAGCCATTCAACAAATCTGTAGGGACTTCTAGACTTTCTCACATTTTTCTGTCATCTTCTTCTGAGCTCTCCAAACTGTTCCAACCTCTGCCTGTTACCCAGTTCCAAAGTCTTCCACATTTCTGGGTATCTTTTCTGCAGCACTCCACTCTACTGGTACCAATTTACTGTACTAGTTCACTTTCACACTGCTGATAAAGACATATCTGAGACTGGGCAATTTACAAAAGAAAGCGGTTTATTGGACTTAACAGTTCCACATGGCTGGGTAGGCCTCACAATCATGGTCGAAGGTAAGGAGAAGCAAGTCCCATCTTACATGGATGGCAGCAGGCAAACAGAGCTTATGCAAGGAAAGTCCCATTTTTAAAATAATCAGATCTTGTGAAACCCATTCACTGTCATGAGAACAGCACAAGAAAGACTTGCCCCCGTAATTCAGTCATCTCCCACTGGGTCCCTCCCACAACACATGGGAATTATGGGAGTTACAAGATGAGATTTGGATGGGGACACAGAGCCAAACTT